TCTGTTATGGCTTTTTACTTAGAAATTAATATAGGAGATTGTTGACCTGTGAATTTTGCTCTTATTCGTATAAAAGAGAATTGCTGAGGTGCCTTTAATTTCTTAGTCTTTTGTTATAGTTTCATTTCTGATGGCAGAGTTATCAGATTTAATTTTTAATTTATTTGAAAATGTTGTGCTTTACTGGGCTCTTAAAGAATGATTTGAGCCAGAAAAAAGTGTTCAGAACTGTTCTCAAATGTGATACGTGTGTTTGAGAGTTCAGGTCATGTTATTTTGGTAGAAAGCATACCAGGCTTGATAGAAGATTTGAACTGTATGTGAGTCACTCTCTGTCACCAATGTGTTCTGCTAACTGGGAAGTGATGTCATTATTGGTTGGTCATGGTTTTCCTAAGTTCAAAATTGTAGAGGCAGTGCTACGACACAGGTTGGTTTTCAGAGTCAGATGAGGTGATGTGTGTGCAGGCGTGTTGGTAGCAAATTATTAAAGGTTTGGAAAAGATTTTTAAACACTTCGTCTTGCTGGCCTGCCTGTGGATTCAACTGTAGCCCCTGTCACAGTGCAGATACTCAGCACATACTGATTAATTGAATTAATATGTGTGTGTGATGTTTTCTTGAGTGAATATTTGTAAAAGATACTTGAAGAAGTTCGATATTTGCTTAAAATTGAATGGTTGATTGTCGTAAGGAACAAATGTCTTTAAAATGTTCTTATAAACATCATTAAGAAAGTATGCCATTCTTTCTTGTTCCCTCCCATTATGGGTCATCTGGGGCAGTGTTGAATCTTGATTTGTTTCGGAACGGAAACTGGAGCACCCTAACGACAACAACAGCAAAAAGAAGTCAAAAATGTTAGAACAAAAGGATAATTTTAATATGTGATAGTGCTTACCATGGATGGAAGTCTGTAGGAAATATATTCCAATGAATAAGTGAGATTTATTTTAATTTTAATTATTTATATGTAGATGCTTCCATAATGTTCAAATTCAGGTTTAATTTGAAGATCGCTTAATACCATTCTCTCTGTTGACTCAGAATATTAGTTTGCTTAGTCTGTCCTTTATTAAGGCTGAGTCTTCGTTCCCTGTTTAATCCGGTGATTTATTCCATGTTTGTTGCGCATCTCTTACATGTCAGGTACTGTCACCTTGTTTTACTAATAATAATGCTATCGAATCAGGTACAAGATGTGAAAATGTGTTTTAAATTGTAATATGACATTCAGACGCAATTATTATTATCAAATTCTCAAATAATTGTGAACAAAAGCACCTGTGTTGCAACTGTTCTGTGTAAATTCTAAATTGTATCTGCCAAGAATTTTGTGTGACATTTTTTATAAGAGTGGGAAACATTAGATGACCCAGCAATGGAATGTTTGGTGAAATAGGCTTAAAAGATAAATGACGCAAGTGCTGGATGTTATAGGAAAAACTTCTAGGGAGGTCAGGACTGTTAGGAGGGGGGCCATCCCCTCTGCCTTTGGGAGCAGATTTACACCCTGGAGCCCAGCTCATCATTTTGCAGATTAGTGTTGTCAGTGACACAGCAGGCTGAGCCGGACAGAGTAGATGACTGGGGTGCGGGGACAGTGCCACCGCAGGAGAGGTAAAGAGTACAGGTGACTCTTTATTAAGAGTTAATAGCATTGTTTCTGTGCATGAGAGAGCATTTATTTCCAGTGAGGGAGCACAGTCCTAGGGTTGTATACCTTTGAGTGTCTTTGCAGTTACGGGCAAAGAATGTGCCATTTTAGTCAGTAGAGACTCAGGGGCAGTTTTCAAAGCTGAAAATTGTGACTATGGGTAGAATCTGTTGACATTTGCAGATGCAAATGCATAAAGTTCTCTGTAACGTGTGGGGCCCACTGGCCCTGATGAAGATGATAAATCTTGTCCTATTGATTTAACATGTATTTTAACAGTTTAATGTAAATAAGCACATTTTGAAATCTAAAATGCTAGTGTTTGGAAGTCCCTTTATAGAGCAGAATTCACTGACTTGGGGTTGATTGGCTGTCTCGGTGTGTGGTTTTGTGCAGAAGAGGCCGTGGTGGCCGCCTCTGGTCTCTCCCAAGTTGCTGCGTGGCCTTGGGCAAGTCACTTGCCCGAGAGGCTTCTTGACTCTTTCCTGAACTGGGAATCCAGGTCCGTTCCAGCTTTGAGATTCTTAAAGTGAAATGCCCACTTAAGAAAATAGAATCAATTTGACAGTACTTTTATTTTTCTGGTGTTTTTCTTTAAAGGTATGGCAATATACATGATTGAAGTAGGAGAGTGTATTTTTAATATGTGTATTGGATATGTGCTACTTTTTGGTTAGTACTAAGTGTTGATCCCTGATCTCTTCCATTTCTCATCCCAAGGACATTAAGGTACAGACTCCCTTTTAGCCAGACTATATGTTATAGTCAGAAACCAAGAATTGTTTAAATGCATATGAGCCCCCTCGCTGCAATGCTGCCAACGAGGAGGTCTAAAGGGCGGCCCTTCTGAAGACGTTTTGTACTACCGTTGCCCGTATTTAACTTCCTCCTGATTGTTTATGAAGAGTTCACCCTTTTAACTATTTAGCTCTATATGTATTGTGTAGTCAGTTGACCATGTTGAGTTCTGGAGGTCTCATAAATCAAATTAAAAGGATCTTTGGATTCTGTACTGAAGGGTTTTTTTGAATGGTGAGATGGGTCTCATCTTGGGTGATGTGGCCACATCCTGTGGCCGTTTCCAAAAGTGTGTTCCGTTCCTATGGATATTAATATGTGTTACCAAAGGAGAAAGAAAGAGCCCTGTTGTTCAAATAAGTTTAGGATTTCCTGAGATGTTTACTATGTTAATAGAGATGTTTTAAGAGAAAGACATGGTGTGTAGAATTTTCCCAACTTACTTGACCAAAGAATTTTCCTTTTTTTATCTTTCTTATTTATCCAGAATTTCCTTTCATATTCTGTCAAGCATATTGGGGGAAAATACACCCAGATTCCGATACCCCTTTGACTGTCCACAGTAGGAAAGCCGATGATTTGGAGGACGGTCGTGGCCTACCACCCCCTGGCCCAGGAGGGGGGTGGTCTTCTTTTTGGCCACACAAACCTTGTCAGATTGTCATCTGGACTCCTGATCCTGACTGTTGCACAATTAGATTGTGCACTTAACTGACATTGAAAAGAAAACTGGAATTCACTTTAGGGCTGGCTAAGGGGTCCAACCTCTGTATTTGTCAAAACCTGGCTTGAGCATCGCATGGTCCGTCCGTCGTTTTTTCTGGCTGTCCGACGCCTGCGCCTGTGCTGCTGGACCACGCTTTTGGTCCCTTTCCATGGAAATGCGCTCGCTCAATTTGATCTCGGTATTTCCCTTTTTAGGTTGAGAGGGACAATAAGAAATTGCCCTGTAAAACTCACTGCTATTTATGCGTGAGGGTATTTTTGAGGACTTTGTTTTTTACACTAGAAGGTGTCTTGGGAAGACACATGAGAAAAATTTCAGAATTTCAGATTTTTGTCCCAGGAAGAATTAGTCCTTCTGAGCAACTTTTTTTTTTTTTTTAAAAATTAAAAAAATACTGCCCGGCTGGCGTAGCTCAGTGGATCGAGCGCGGGCCTGCGAACCAGAGTATCGCAGTTCAATTCCCAGTCAGGGCACATGCCTGGGTTGCAGGCCAGATCCCTGCAGGCCAGTTCCCAGCAGGGGACTCACTAGAGGCAGCCATACATTGATGTTTCTCTCCCTCTCTCCTTCCCCTCTAAAGATAAATAAATAAAATCTTAAAAAAATACTTACGGACAATGTACATATGAAACCATTGTGTTTCTGTATTTGCCTTGTTTCTTGAAAGCTCCTGCTAAATGTGGGGCCCATCTTTCACAAACCCATAGGCTTTTTACTTTGGCTTCTTTTTATTTTTATTTAAGGCAGTAATTTTCAACCTTTTCTATCTTACGGCTAGTTACCAAAACTCTGCAGCCCACCGAGAAATATATGTTTTGCTGCTTTGACAAAAAACAGGTGTCATCTGGATGTGTTCACACTGGATGGCTCTTGTGGTGTTGGCTGTTGTCATTTTTTTACTTGGCCGTCCGAGGAAAGAGGTCAGCGCCCCAGACCGAATGGTCATTTTAGTGCATGCTGTAAAAATTCCCACTGCCCGACAGTTGACACTTGCCGATTGAAGGTAACGTAGATTTGGAGTGGAGGACGCAGGCTGTGGAGCCAGGCCGCCGGGACTCACATCGTGGCACCACCGTTCCATTTTCAGATCGGGCGAGCTCCTTCCTCTCGGGCCCTCGGTCCTCCCCACCTGGGGAAGGGAGCGAATGGAACCCTCAGGAGCTGGTTGTGAAGATGACCGGAGAACAGATTTCAGCTCCTCCACGAGTTCTTGACATAGCTTGCATATTCCGTGCTGTTTTCATGGTCCCTTTGTTTCACTTTGTCTACTTTAAAAAGTAATTGATTTCCTATCATTTATATTATTTTACTTACTGTAATCAACCCAAAATATTTCTTGGGACACGGCAAAGTAAGCATACATATTAGTTTCTCGGCATGTTATTTCATATAAAATGCAACCGTTAAAGACATTCCCAGTTGCTCTCCCACAACTTTTTAAGTTTACAGAGGTTTTGAAAAACCAGGTGAAGGTTTACTTCTGGTCCACTTTCCTTCCCTTCCCTGCCACCTGAAACCTAATCACTAAACACATTTTCTGTATTATTTGTGTGGGCATGAGCGTGGTTTTCTTAGGACTTTTTTATTGCAACCTCTTAGGTTGAAAGTTTCACTATCATTCGAAATCTGTCACAAGACCAGGGAAGTGCCTTCATTATACAACTATTTAATAAATAAGTCCCCCAGTTTGAAGAGCTAGACTTTTATGTGAGGTCAGGCCAGTTGAAGACATTTACAAAGAATTAGTTGTTTGTTATTGCTATGCAAGCTGCAAGAATGGAAAAAAAAAGAAATTCTTTCTTCAATACTTCCTTCCAGGCTGAGTCATCACTAGAGAGTGGGAAGGGCAGCAGCCGCAGAGAATCCAAACCCCAAAGCTGATACCACAGAGCACCGCTTCTGCAAGTTGGGGGCTGGTGGGGAGCCATCATGAGCGATGTTACCATTGTGAAGGAAGGCTGGGTTCAGAAGAGGGGTAAGTGTTCGCCGCGGCCGAAATCATGCGGTTGGTAAGTGTGCGGACAGTGAGTGGTGTTCTGGATGCTGGTATTTTTTCTGATGCTGTTAACAGAGTAAACTGAGGCTCTATGTCCAGTAAGAGAGAAGTGATGTTTTATCTCTGTGTGAGGAATTTGCTTGTTATTTAGCGATTCTTTGTAATTCTTGATTTTGATCATTTATAATCAGGTTTGGCTTTCTGGTCTGTTGGGTGCATGCACGTTACAGAAAATTCTTGTATTTTTCTGTGTCATCTACAGACTCTACAATCCAAAGAGAAATTCTCAGAATGCTTTAATATCTAAAAAAATATCTTTAACTTATATGCATTTCTAGACATGTAAACATAAATAAAATTGAGTTATATTCAGCCAATTTGGGTGGTGGTAGCGGGGAGGGTTCACCCCCAAACTCACGGATCTTCTACAGTCTCATGAGTAGGTAAGTGAAGTCCTGAAGTAAAAGACCAAATGAGGGAAGGGTGTGTGTGTGTGTGTGTGTGTGTGTGTGTGTGTTGGTCTTTACTTTTATGTTTTTATTTTTCATGATCTACTTTTAGTATTTCTTGTCCACTCCTACTTTAGGTAAACAATTCAATGCATTATTATACTTCTGTGTTATTGAAGGAAGAGCTCTCAATGTAAAACTTAAGTTTTACATCCTCTATGAGATCACTTGCTAATGTGGTCAATGTGTTTATTAGAAATCTAGAGTTTAGATTAGTTGCTAGGCAACTATTGTTTATCCACATGGCCAAGTTGAGTAGCATGAGGGCCATTTCATTCTCGGGACTTAGAAGTACCATGTATCTATTTTCTGGTTAAAATTGCCTCCTAAATAGTGATTTTCATAAATTCTTTGAAGGTTTGTATTTCGGGCCTGAGTTGAAGAGCCGTTGAGAAGAGGTGAATTTGTTTATATGTCACCACTCTTAAAAATCGACCTTAACGAGTTATTTATTATACATAGAATATAATTCACTAATTTCAAGTATACACTTTGATGAATTTTGCTCAATTTATACAACAGTGTAACAAACACTGTAGTCACGACTTAGAACATTTCTATCACCTGAGAAAGTTCTGCGTTTTCCTGGGAACCACTCATCGGCTGCTACTGTCATTTCGCTTCTCTAGAATTTCCGATACGCAGAGTCACGCCACGTGTGGTCCTTTGTGTCTGATCACTTTCCCATTGCCTAGTACTTTTCAGATTCGTCTGTGTTAATGTACGTATCGTTAGCTTGTTCTTTTTTATTGTGGAGTAGTGTGTTGCTGTGTGGGCATGATACAGTCGACCTGTTAACAGTGGATGGACCTCTGGGCTGTTTCTAGTTATTAATTGTTATGAATAATAATCAAAGTTGCTGTGAACATTTGCACTCATGTCTTTGCGTGATGTCCTCATTTTTCTTGGTCAGTAACCTAGGAATGAGATTGCTAGGTCACATGGTAAGTGTATGTTTTCTTTATAAGAACCACCAGACTGTTTTCCAAAGCGGATGACTATTTGTGTTCTGTTTAATTTTTTATGTTATTTCTCATATTAGAAATTGGGAAAGCACTTTCAGATTTCAGTGATGTATAAAGGAAGGTATTTTTAAATTTATTTTCTAACTTATCTGATATATTTTTATATATATAAATATATATATATATATTTTGGGGGGTGGCAAGTCACTTGACCCTTTTAGAGTTTTACCTTATTAACTCTGAAATTGCTTTTCAGAAGACTAAAAGCATGGGTATGGATGTTTGGGCAGTTTGAACATAAATGTGAACTATTACTACCAGCATGTTTTATGACGGGTTTAGGGTAGTCGTTGAACCTGTTTGTGTAATTGTATCTTTTCTGAAGGGCCATTATAGAAGGTTGGCGTATAGGACATGGACATAGAAAAAGGAAAAAAAGTCAAAAAGAATTACTCAGTGTTTTTCCTGCATTGGTTACGGAGGGAGGATTCTAGCGATTCTGTATGTGCGTGAGTGCACGTGTGTATTAATTTCAGGAGGTAATAGTCTCCTAAACATAAGAATTGGAATAATACGCAAAGGTATAAAATGAAAAGTGAAAATCTTTCTACCTCTATTTCTTTCAACTAGTTTCTTTTCACAGAGGTAACTATTTTAGACCTTTTGTATATTTTTAATTCTTCTGCTGATTATTCCAGTTTTATGTATAATACAACACTATGTTATACTTTACTTTTGACTAAGTAATCTAGTATAGCCCCACTATGAAAAATGAACAATTTCACTTGTAGTACTCATTGTTCATTTTTGGGGCCTTTTATGGTTAGATTTCTAGCTCTTGAATCATTAATTCCATGAGTTACTTAGATAGATTTCGTACTTTATAAGTTAAGAAAAATCAGTCCCCCTTACAACCTTTCCCTTGAACCCCACACATTTCTCTCCCAATTTGTGGTAGCTGTAGCATTTATTTTATGTTATCAGAGTTTAATAGTTAGGCCTGTTGATTTCACAAAGCAGTAATCAGTGTTATGCTGTGTAAAGAACATTAACTGCTAAACAAAGTAGTGTGATGAGCGTTTGGGATCCATTGAGAACAAATGGATTTTTATATGCCGTTGGTACTGGAGATCATGCCGTACTTTAGTGTGGGCTCTAACTGTTTCTCCTGTATTTTCAGATAGCCACATTCCCCCCATTGGTAGAAGAGTGTGTGCCTTCATAACATCCCTTGGTTTTCCATCTTTATTTTTTATTACCGTCTATGCCCCCATGTCCTCTTCCACCTCTGTCCCCCGCGGTCACCACGCTGGCGTCCAGTTACCCATCTTTGAAATGCTGCTTGTTGAAGTACCCATAGGAATTGCCTTTTTATCTGAGCTTGATGCTCAGCTCGTGCTGTGCTGTTTAATTGCATTCTTGGACTTATTGCAATGGAAAAAGACATCTTTCCTCTTTCTGTTTGGGATTTATTTTGCAGTTTTCTAGGGTACTTCCTGCAGTCATTTTTCAGAAGGAGCATGTGTGGGGGCGCTTGTCAGGTGAGAAATGTTTGAAAATGTCCTTTCCACCCTCACCCTTGGCTGGGTACAGAAGGCAGGTTTACATCTCTTCCCTCCCGAGTTCCGAAGGTCGCATTCCATTGCTTTTTAGCAGCCAGGGTTACTGATCAGAGGCGTGGTGCTGCCCTGTACACTTGTTTGTAAGCAGCTTGTTTTGTTCCCTGGAAACTTCTTCTGCTGGTGCCACTCGACCTTTGGCATCATGGAGGTTGAGGAGGTTGAGTTGTAGTCCTTGTTAATTCATTCTGGAAAGCCTACGGTGGACTGTTTGAAACCGCAGACTTTTAGCGTCTTTGTTCAGTTCTGGAAAGTCTGTATTTCTTTTATTTCTTCCCTTCTATGTTGTCTGTATTTTATATATTTTTTAAAAAATTTCCCCTAGAGCTTACATATCAGTGCACTGTTTTCCTTTTTTTTTTTTTCATTTTCCATGCCTTCCCCCCCCCCCCTTTGTTCTGGGAGATTTCCTTGACTTGTTATTCTAGCCCTTCATTGAATTATTTATTTCAGCTATTACTTTATATTCCTGGGAATTCTTTATAGTTTATGGCCACCTGCTCTTACTTTACTTGTAGAACAATCTTATTTTTAGGACACTAAATAGATTTTATTTCTAAGTTTTTTTCTTTGCTTTAAGTAATTTCTCTCATTTGTTTATTTCGTTCTTTTTTGGTGGTAGTAGTTTTCTTCAGGTGCCTGGTGATCTGTGTTTGGCTGGCCACATTTGTGAATGAAAGACTGGGATTGCCGGTAGTGTCTTCTAGTTTTACAATTCATGTATTTTCCCCTGTGCTTATAATAAGTTAGAGAATCTGTATGGTCGTTTTCAACTGTACTTGAAAGCATTAGTTAAAATATTAGGGAAACCAAACTGGGCATTTTTTTCCTCCACCATGTAAAATTTTTTCTTTAGAGATTTTTCAGTACTATTTTATTAATAATTTTGTGTTTTAGTCGAGTAAATTTCACTATATAACCTGTTGGTGTTTGGCTGTATTCCATGGAGCACTGTTGTTTGCTGCTTGTTGTCTTCACCTGAACTATGCGTGGTGTCCTTGTTTAAGAACAAATGTGGAAATACCTGCCTTCTTTACTTCGCTGTGTGGTTTTAAGCATTAGGAGATAATGTATATAGGGGAGTGTTTTTAAACTATTAATAAAGGGTGTTGATATAACAGGTGTAATCATAGCCCTTATGTTGAATGTCAGTCCTTCTCAAACCTGTATTGCTGAGTCAGGTCTTGTAAGCTCCTAATCAGATATAATCTCATTTTATCTTTACTTTTTAAAAAAAAATTATGTAATTGTTGTTGAAGTACAGTTTTCTGTTTTTCACTCCCATCCCAGCCCACCCCCCCCAATGCTCCCCACCTCCCTCCCATTTCCATCCCCCCTTATTTGTTGTCCATGTGTCCTTTATGCTAGTTCCTGTTTATCTTTACTTTCAATGCGAATAAGTTGTTCTTCATAAAATATCTTCCAGGAAAAGGGAAAAAAGACTTAAAGATAATTACTGATATTGTATAGCATAGATGCTTTCCTAACTTTATTAGTGGCGTATAGTAGGGAAGCCTTTTTTTCCTGTACTTTTCTGGAGCAGTTGCAGAATAGTGGATATTAATTGAGATAACTCATGAACATAGTATTGTTTTTTTTTTTTTTAAAGATTTTATTTATTTATCTTTAGAGGGGAAGGGAAGGAGAGAGGGAGAGAAACATCAATGTATGGTTGCCTTTCATGCGTCCCCTGCTGGGAATTGGCCTGCAGGGAACTGGCCTGCAACCCAGACATGTGCCCTGACTGGGAATCGAACCGCGATTGTCTGGTTCACAGGTCCGTGCTCAATCCACTGAGCTACACCAGCCAGGGCTTAGTATTGTTGATATTAGAAATGACAGTAAAAGAAATACAATGTAGTAAGCATGGAGGAAAATACTGTCTG